ATGTTTAATGTTTAAAATACATAAGACATGTAAAATCTTAAAAACAGAAAATGTGTACTTGTCTTCAGTTTTAAAGCAGTTATTTAGATTTTTATTAAATAATTATATGTATACTTTTAGCTTAAGAATATCATTTTCATTTAATTTTTTTATACGATTAACACACTTTTAAACTTAGTGAAAAAATGATTTACATTGTTTGTCAGTGATGGTGCCATACATAGGCGACAGCATTACCAACACTATCGAATCACAATGAGTCACTTGGTTTGTTTTTTTCATCTATGTAAGAATTTCAGTCTGYTTCTATTCAGTCCTATTGATGCCAGCGTTTACTCGGAATAATTTTCTTATGCTGTGGTTTGATCTTTACAAGATTACCACAATCTGCTTTCGCATCCCAAAAATATTCCCCAAAAAGTACCTCAAGCATAACTGAAAGCACAAGTTTCAGGGAGGATTTAAAGACGTGCCGCCTTCACACAGAGTTACAGTGTGACTCTGAAACACAGACTGATTCGATCAGTCTTTTCTGCCGTCGGTGTAAATTAAAGACATTTTGCTCCGCATTGTGCATCACGTTTGGCTTCACTTTGACAAAGCGGGAAAAATTAGCTGACTGTGGGTCATGATGTCAGGAGTTCCGCACATTACGGTGACTTGGACCGCTTAATTCTTCCGCTTGTCCCCATCTGCATCTGATTTGACTCCGTCATCACGAGTTCCCCTGTGTTTTCTGCTATCTTTGATAAGATGGGACTTAATGATGCGACTCTGGCAAACAACACTATAGRAAAAATCACTTTATTTATTGCCCCCCMCCCCCCCCCCCCCCATTTTTTTAATCGGATTGATCCATCCTATCTGTGTTGGTTTTTCCTTCCATTATCAAATTAAGCCTCATTCCACCACCAGGTCTGTTTAGTGTGCCGCAAATGCATACAGATGTGGCAGCTCATTTTCTTTATGGTACAGATGTTGGAATAATAGGAGTTACAGATAAAATCAGTCCATTCAGAACATAATGCAAGGGTAAAAGCATCTTTTTCAGGATGGAGAAGAAGAGTGTTGATTCCTAATTTCTACTACTGAAACARCAGAAAGAGCCTGCTTTTCTTCTCTCTTCTCATGTCACAACCCTCAGCAAAAAGTAGTATAGGCAAGTATCCAATAAGTACACTAATTTTAAACTAAAAATAAAAGGGTATACTTCCAGTTTACGTATTATGTACTTATCTGAGATATACTTAACCAAGTTTATCTTACACTATACTGAAAGTATACTAAAAGTTTACATATACTTAGTCTATACTAATGTTTAAACTTTTGGCCAAAAGAAACTTTAGCAGTACACTGAAAGTACATTTTTCACACAGACTGGTTTATTTGTTGTATATTTCAAGATTAAACTAAAAGTATACTTAGATTACTTTCAGTATACTTCTAAGTATGCTTTCATAAAGTAAATGTGGGTCAATTTAGTCCTAGAAGTATACTTGTTAGTAAACTACTAGTATACTTATATCAATGGTAAATAATATAAACAATGGCAAATAAAAATATACTTAGGGAAATACAGTTTTATATACTTTAGTATACTTAATGACATGTACTTAAGGTATACTTCAGTATACTTCTTTTTGTAAGCACTTTTGTAAGTTTATAAACCAACAAAAGACATCWTAACAGTACTTAAAGTATACTTTTTATTAACAAAAAAAGTCCCAATTTAGTACGAACAAGTATTAAATCAGTATACTTTCTAGTACACTACAAGTACATGGTGCCTAGCATACTTGATATCCTTACACTTATACTCAAGTATTAAAATGAACTTCAAGTATACTAATTTTTGCTAAGGGAACAGAGTGATACACGGGCCTTTCAGTGTGGATAAAAAGCAACTGTTTCCCACTCTTTATTGCCTTTATCTCAATAAGGACAGAAGAATGGCTTTCATTTCTAATTTCACGCAGAAACTTCCTGTTTGAGGATAAGGAATGATGAAAGCACATACTGTAATTCCCTGTAGTTCCCACTGGAATCTTTAAACACGCGCCAAGAAAAGAGTTCAGGAAAACATCACTGATGGGGTAATTTAGGTTTTTTTTTTCACAGTGAACTCCAAAAACACTGCTATGCAATTCATTTCCAACAACAAAGAGATGTGTAGAGCTTTAATTGAGCTCACGATGTGCTACATTTATTTACTTGATAAGCCTCGACTTTATAACTCATGGAAAATGTCAGAATGGAGTGTGACAAGGGAAAAATTAAGAGGGAGAAAAGTTMTTAAATATACTTTAATTGCTACAGTATGTTATAATTTAAAACTACAGCTCACTTCAAAGACTTATAAATATGCTTTAGCAGTTGAATTCCTCTGTCAGATGGAGAGCCATACTTATTAAACACGGTTTACCTGAGTGTTCAGACATGACTGGAAACATTTTGCCTCCTGTGTCTTATCATAAAGTTTATCATTTTTTCCACAGGACTATGCTGTTTCAACTGTGCCTGTTTTAGAGGGGCTGCACCTAAAGAGCTTCTGCAGCATGGGAGGACCAGGGCTCATTGTCATCGGCTCCAGTGAACCAGCTCAGAAGGCCCTCAAAGTAAGCACAATCCAAGTTTAATTAAACATTGAATTTGTTGCAGGGTAATTATATTACCTTCATTTTTTTTTATTAAAAAGCTGTATATATCAAAATGCCTTGAAATTGGTCTCTGTCTTTTAAGAACCTCCTACCATTTCTGACTCTCCCACTTCTTAACAACAATGCTTCGGGGTAGAGATGCTTTGTGGGGCGGGACCTCAGCTGGGAACTGAGCTCCAGGGAGGAGCTTTGTGTAAATGGGCTGAGCTTTGWACCAGCAAGCATTTAGGCAGCTCCACATGGCTACCACAGGAGATTCAAGGATTTAGCAAACACACATGAATGAGTCAAAGCAACACTCTGGGTTTGTTTTTGATGATTTAGGCCTAAAAATGTTGATTTTGTATTATACCATCCATCCATCCCTGCTTCTTCCTTTCAGGGTCTTAGGATAATATAATACCCTCCCTTTCTCCTCTGGTGCCATCACCAAACCATTAAAGCAACAGATCAGTACTAGTTTCATAGTTATAGCACCGATTGATACAGATGATTCACTAATTTGGTTCTTTTATGGTTCTACAAATCATTTACAATGGTCACACTACAATGTAGGGGTGTAACAATACATAGATTCACATCTACATATATATAT